GTATGTGTCCAATTTTCCTGACACCATTTATTGAAGAGATTGTCTTGAGTCCATTTTATGGTTTTGCCTCCTTTGTCAAATATTAATTGAGTGTAATGGCTTGGGCTCATTTTTGGAATCTCTGTTTTGTTCCATTGCTCTATGTGCCTGTTCTTGTGCCAGTACAGTGGATTTGTAGTATAACTTGATATTTGGTAGTGTAATTCCTCCAACTTTAGTCTTCTTTCTCATAATTGCTGAGGCTATTCAAGATCTTTTTTGGCTCTATATAAATCTTTGGAGTACTTGTTCTAGATCTGTGAAGTATACTATTGGTGTTTTAATAAGGTAGTAAGTTGAATCTGTAGATTGCTTTGAATAGTATGGACATTTTAATGATGTTAATTCACCAATCCATGAACATCAAATATTATTTCACTTGTTCACATCTTCCTCTATCTCTTTTTTCAACATCCGTTAGTTTTCCAAGTACAAGTCTTTTACGTCCTTGGTTAAATTTTTGCCTAAGTACTTTAATTTTTTTTGTTGAAATGGTAAATGGGATTGGTTGTTTAGTTTCTATTTCTGAGAATTCATTATCTTCATTATCATACTAATAATAGTCTAGGTGGTGGTCATGCTGTCACGCATCATGCCTTAATGTCATCACAAGATGGCCATATGCACAATGGAGGCAGGGCCCAGCAGAGGAGGTGGGTCGTGCAGGGGAGGGCAGTTGGGGACAATCAGGTTGGCAGGGGAGCAGTTAGGCGTAAATCAGCCAGTAGGGGAGTGGTTAGGGGGCTATCAGGCTGATAGGCAGAAGCAGTTAGGGGCAATCAGGCAGGTGAGCAGTTAGGAGCCAGCAGTCCTGGATTATAAGAGGGATGTCTGACTGCCATTTTAGGTCCCAGATTGGAGAGGTTGCATGCCTGGCTGAGGGACATCCCTGTACTGCCCTCCTCTCTACCCCATGTGCAAATTTTGTGCCCCAGGCCGCTAGTTGATGTATAAAAAAGTCATTGATTTTTGGGTGTTGCTTTTGTACTCTGCTACACTGCCAAATTAATTTATTAAATTTAGTAGTTCTTTGGTGAAGTCTAGGTTTTTCTATGCACAATATAATGTCATCTGTGAATAATGAGAGTTTTACTGCCTCCTTATCAATTTGGATGCCTTTTATTTCTTCTTCTTTGTTGATCTCTGTGCCTAGGACTGCCAGTATTATTTTATATAAGAGTGTTGAAAGTGGTCATCCCTGTCTTTTTCCTGTTGTTAGGGAAAATTGTTTTAGTTTTTTCACCTTGAATATGATGTTTGCTGTACATTTGTCATTTATGGCCTTTATTACATTAAGATATGCTACCTCTATTTTCACTTTGCTGAGAGTTTTTAGGGTTTTGGATTTTTGTCAAATGCTTTTTCTGCATATATTGGTATTATGTGATTTTTTGTTTTTGTTTTTCAGTTTGCTCATGCGATGTATCATGTCTATTGATTTGTAAATAATCATAACAGCTTTGCATTCCTGTAATAAACTTCACTTGGTCATGATGTATGGTCTTTTTAATATATTGCTGAATCTGATTTAGTAATATTTTGTTGAGAAATTTAGCATGTATGCTCATAGGGGATATTGGCCCGGAAATTCTTTTACTTTGTCGTATCTTTTTTTTTTTTAAATATATTTTTATTGATTTTACACAGAGAGGAATTGAGAGGGACAGAGAGTTAGAAACGTCGATGAGAGAGAAACATCGACCAGCTGCCTCTTGCACACCCCCCACTGGGAATGTGCCTGCAACTAAGGTACATGCCCTTGACCGGAATGGAACCCGGGACCTTTCAGTCCGCAGGCCGACGCTCTATCCACTGAGCCAAACCGGTCCCGGCTATTTGTCGTATCTTTATCTGGTTTGGGAATTAAGATAATGCTGGCCAGATAAAAAGAATTTGAAAGTGTTCCTTCCTCTTGGGTTTCTTGAAATAGTTTGAGGAGTATAGGTGTTAGTTCTTCTTTGAATGTTTGGTAAAACTCCCCTGTGAAGCAGTCCAGACCTGGGCTTTTTATAATCACTGTTTGCTGGTCATTTTATAATCACTGTTTCTGTTTAACCAGTTGTTATTGGCCTATTCGGGTTTTCTGATTCTTACTGATTGAGTTTTAGAAGATTCTATTTTTCTAGGAATGTGTATATTTCATCCAGGTTGTCCAGTTCATTGGAATATAGTTGTTCTTAGTATTTTATTTATTTATTTACAATTTTTTTGTATTTCTGTGGGGTTAGTTGTTACTTCACAACTTTCATTTCTGATTTTATTTATTTGGATCCTCCCTCTTTGTTTTTTTGATGAATCTAATGCTTCATTAATTTGGTTTATCAATTCAAAAGAACTAGGTCTTGTTTTCATTGATCTTTTGTATTGTTGTTTTGTAGTCTGTATGTCATTTATTTCTGTTGTAATCTTTATTATTTCCTTTTACTTATTCTGGGATTTTCTTGTTGTTTTCTCTCTAATTCTTTAAGTTGTAGAGTTAGATAACATTACTTTATCTTGTTTTTCTGAGGTAGGCCTGAAGTGCTATGAATGTCCCTATCATGACTGCTTTCACTATGTCCCATAGATTATGGGTTTTGTGGTTAATTTTGATTTGTTTCCAGGATGTTTTTTATTTCTTCCTTGATTTAATTGGTAACTTGTTTATTATTTAATAACATAATATTTAGCCTCCATGTGTTTGAATTTTCTTATTGTAGTTGATTTCTAATTTATTGCCATTTAAAAGATGCTTGATATGATTTCAATCTTCTTGAACTTTTAGAGATTTATTTTTTTGTCCTAACATGTGGTCTATCTTTTAAAATGTATATTCTGTAGCTTTGAAGTAAAATGTTATGAAAATATAAGTTATTTCTATTTGATCTAGTGCATCATTTGGGATCACTGTTTCCTTATTGATATGTTTTTGTCTAGAAGATCTATCCAGTGATATCAGTAGTATTTTAATGCCCCCTATTACGATTGTATTGTTGTCAATTTCTTCCTTAAAGTCCTCTAGGGAGCGCTTTTCTCTCTAATTCTGTAGGGTGGGCCTTTCTGAGACCTTAGTTTTTCACATGCAAGTACTGATCCATTCTATTGCTGAATAAGTTAGGGAACTCTCAGAGGAGATTTGGGGTTCTTTCTCTGTGCAATCCTATCCTTTCTGATATATCCAGGATCAATATTAGGCCCGAGATTCACAAAGGGAAGTCACATTTCATGTATTATGACATATTTACCTATGGTCAGCTTGCAGACTGTGGTTAAGTCACTCAGACATCCTCCAATTGAAGATGATTTAGAAATTCCCTCAGCTTCCCAGAACAGCTATGGATTAAGCAACCTTTTCATATATGAAACTGGACTAGTTCTCTGAATATGTGTAGTGAAGTAAATTGCATCTACTTATTAAATATATGCTCATCATGTTTGACCACAAATGGAAATTTAACCCTTCATATACACCCCTCTCAGATTTGTACTCAGCATAACCTTACAAGTCCTGAAAGACCATTCATTTCCAATATACTATCATATTATATCTGTGCAGCAGCCATGTACTCTGGTGCCATTTTTAATCTTATACTATCCTAATATATAAAAAGCCAGGGGCCATCATGACAGAAACAGCCAGACAGATGACTGAACAGCAGGCTGCGTGGGGTGACCAGGCCAGAAGGGGGAACACTTAGTAGTGACCAGGCCAGTATGGGGGGAAGTTGGGGGCCACCAGGCCAGCAAGGAGGGGCAGTTGGGAGCAACCAGGCCGGCGGGGGGGGGGGGGGGTTAGTAAGGGGCAACCAGTTTGGCAATGGGGACAGTTAGAGGCAACCAGGCTGGCAGAGGGGGGAAGTTGGTGGTGATCAGGCCAGCAGGGGGAGTATTGGGGGCAACTAGGTCAGCATGGGGCAGCAAAAGCTGACCAGGCTGGTGGTGAGGCAGTTATGGGCAACCAGGCCAGCAGAAGGGAGCAGTTAGGGGTGACTAGGATGGCAAGGGGCAGTTTGGGGTGACCAGGCTGGTAGGGAGGAAGTGAGGGGCAACCAGGGGCAACCAGGTCAACATGGGGACAGTAAGGGTTCACCAGGCTGGTGGTGGTGGTGGTGGGGCAATCGGGCTGGCAGGGGGACTGTAAGGGGCAACCAGGCCAGCTTGGGGACAGTAAGGGTTCACCAGGCTTGTGGGGGGGCAATTGGGGGCAACCAGGCTGGTAGGGAGGCAGGTGGGGGCAACCAGGCTGACAGAGGGACATTAAGGGGGAACCAGGTCAGCAGGAGGGCAGTTAGGGGTGACCAGGCCAGTGGGGGGGCAGTTAGGGATGACCAGGTTGGCAGAGGGGGGCAGTTGGAGACAACCAGGCTGGCAAAGGGAATCAGTTAGGGGTGACCAGGCTGGTGGGGGGGCAGTTGGGAGCACTCAGGCCAGCAGGCAGAGGCAGTTTGGGGTGATCAGGCTCAAATGGGGGTAGTTAGGGGAGATCAGGCAGCAGGCAGGTGAGAGTTAGTAACCAGTGGTCCCAGATTGAGAGAGGGTTGTCTGACTACCAGTTTAAGCCTGATTCCCAGGATATTCCCCGAGGGTTCCTGGATTGGAGAGGGTGCAGGCTGGGCTGAGGAGAAACGCCTCCCCCCCTCCCATGCATGAATTTCATGCACTGGGCCCTAGTTATATTATCATATAAATACTAGTGGCCCAGTGCATGAAATTCACACTCTGGTAGGGTCCATAGTGGCTGCTGGCCAGTACTTTCTCCCTTCCCCCAGCCACCTGCCACCACTGCCAATGCTGCCAGCCAGGGCCTCCTCCTCAGGCCCTCCTTCTCCAGGGCATCCCTGCCTTCCCCTGGTTGGCCCGCCCCCTGGTCAAACTCCCTGTTGAGGAGATAATTTGCATGCTACACTCTTATTATTTAGGATTTGTTTTGCATTTTAAATAACAAGCTGATGCTAAACAATATATTTTATTTAATGTTTTAGAAAAAAGCCCTTTTAGAGAAAAAAATGGCTTATCACTTACCAAAAAAGCAAGAAAATGGCTTCAAAAGAAAGGATATGGGAAAAAATCTATCTGATGACAAAGGAAAAGATGGAATACAGTGTGAATGCGAGAACATTTAAGGTGATGTGGTTCTGTAGAAAGCTCTTTTCCATGTATTTACATTAAAATTATTTTGTAAAACTTTGCTTACACTTGCTCTGCTTGCTTTGTACCAGGCACAGTTATAGGCATTTCCCTATTATAGTTCAAGGTGAAAAGTAGACATATACATAAAAAAGAAATAAAATAATCTTACCAAGTGGTTTCATGGTCAAACTTGTCTATCCAATTTCCCTATACTTAAAATAATGTGTTTGCTATTGAAACTTGAAAAAGTTGCATGTAAGATAATGGCTATTATATACCAATATAGTTTTCTGCTATGTTGCCAGCAGAAAGAATAGACAATACCAGAGAAAAACAAAGGGAAGAAAGAAGGGAGGAGTTAGAGAAGGAAGGAATGTAAGAAAGAATTGAAGGAAAAAAAGAAGGAAATGAAGGAAGTTTAAAGGAAGAACATCAGGCCTTGGCTTTGCTATGCTTGATCTCTACCAGCTGCCTTTTATTTATAATATTATAAATATACTAGAGGCCCAGTGCATGAATTTGTGCACGGGTGGGATCCAGCTGTCCCACCTTGATGGGAGCCCATTTGGCTGGGCCCTTGGCGGGGGGAGGGGCCAATGGTGGCTGGTGGCTGGCCCTGCCCCTGATTGGGGTGGTGGGGCCTATCAGGGGCTGGATCGACTAGCAGGGGTCCTCAAACTTTTTAAAGTGGGGGCCAGATCACGGTCCCTCAGAGAGCTGGAGGGCCGGACTATATGAACTACTAATTCCTACTGTAACACCTCTGCTGCGCTCACTGCCCAAAAAACCTGGCGGGCCGGATCAGACTCCTCTGCGGGCCGCATGTGGCCCGCGGGCCGTAGTTTGAAGACGCCTGGACTAGGGGGTGTAATAGGGGCCTGGATCAGGCTGGTTGGCTGGCGCAGTGCACATCATAGCCACTGTTTGTTCTGCCTTTCCAGTTGCTGGGAATATATATATATATATATATATATATATATATATATATATATCTTTATAAAATCAATTTAATTAATAATATTAATTAAAATTTTATTGCCAAAATGCAAAAAATATAGACTTGATTTAATTATCTATGACTATGTGGTATCAGGAAAACATAATCATCTTCCATGCAGTCATCCTCAAAGCATCCATCCATCCTATCTGTCCCACTAGTCCTGTTTCTAGGTGAGAACCTACCTATGCCACTCCAGTAAATTACTAACTAGTCTCCACTGGCTCTTAATTTAACCTACTTCAAACCCATTTTTTAAACTGCTACATAATGATACTTTAAATTCTCTTGATTATTTATTTTCCTGGTTCCAGAATGTAAAGATCCCCATTACCTCTTAGATGAGGCTCAGATTTCTTATACAACTAACCATTCATTACATTCATCATGGTCTAGAGTCCACACCAAATTTAACTTTTTAATTTATTACACATATCTTCTTCAAGAAGGCAGCTATGATCTAGGAGATATATATACATAGACTCTTGACCCAAAACATTGAAGTCCAAGTGCTGCTTTACCATTTTCTAACCAGGTAAATAGCTTGGACAAATAACCTCTCTAAGCCACAGTTCCATCATTTGAAGACAAAGGTAATACTCCTAAATTATTCCTATCAAATATTTAAATGTCCTAGCCCATGATAAGCACTCAATTTCATTGTCCAATCAAATGGGACTACTGACCATTTCTAAAACACAAATTTCCTTTCATACTTCTATGTGCCTCGCTTCCAATTTTCTCAGCCTGGACTGATGTGCTCACTGAGCATCTGTCCAAATCCTACAATCATTTAAGCTCCACTGTAAATACACTCCATGAAGTATTCATAATAAATGTAACTAAAATATCCCTCTCCTTTGAATCCTTATAGTACTTTGTGTAATTGTTCCTCATTTTTTATATATTCAAAGCCCACTGTTGTTTTATTTCTTTATTTTGAATTGATCCTAAGAGAGGAAGGAAGAGAGAGAGAAAGAAAGAAACATTGATATGAGAGAGAAACATTGATCAGTTGCCTCCTGTACGTGCCCCACTGGGGATCGAACCCACAACCTAGGTATGTGCGCTGACCAGCAATCAAACCTGCCTCCTTTTGGTGTACGGAATAACACTCCAACCAGCTAAACCACACTGGCCAGGGTCATTCTTGATACACTAATTACATACTTCCCACTGTCTTTTTTTTTTTTTTTTTTTTTAAATATATTTTATTGATTTTTTACAGAGAGGAAGGGAGAGGGAGAGAGAGTTAGAAAGGTCGATGAGAGAGAAACATTGACCAGCTGCCTCCTGCACACCCCCTACCGGGAATGTGCCTGCAACCAGTGTACATGCCCTTGACTGGAATCGAACCTGGGACCTTTCAGTCCGCAGACCGACACACTACAACTTCCCACTGTCTTAATCACCCATAGTATTGTAACATTTGTGTTTCCCAGGGCACCTGGTTCTGAATGTAGATATATAAGTATAGATAGACTAATGATGTGCTTGCTGACTGAACTAGTCCATCTATCAGCTCATTGAGACAATGACACAATGTCGTGCTTCAGAAATCACTTCAGTAACTACATGCATTTCTTACTCTTCAACTGTTCACTTTCTCATTAAATAGCAAAAACAGTTTCAAGGAGACATTTTAGATATTGGTTACCTCAAATCCACCTCTTTTGAAGAAATAGATTATAAATGATCTAATTTATATTATTGAGGTGACAGAGGATAAGAATACTTTTTCACGGATGAAATGAAATCCTTTCTCGGTAGTAATGTCATCTTTCACAAAGTAGGCCGCTTCTAGAGGGACAGGGAGAGAATGGACAAGGAAGGGACTACCGAGGGAATCTGCTTCAGTGGGGAGACAGATGGCTCTCACATTTTATATCTCTAACAAAAACCCATTAAGTGCACCTGTTGAGAGAGTCCTTTGCCACACACAAGTTTTAGGAACAGGAACTAAAATCAGCTCTATCATGGATAAGGGACATGGATCTGGTTGCTTATGCCTGGCTGTGCGCAATGGTTACTGTGGGCTGGTCGATCTCCAGCCAGTATGTTGGTATGCATACCCACAAAGAGGAAATTACATTTTCCAGTTGAGCTGGGAATAGCCTTTCCTCTCTGCCAGAAGAAAATTATACCCTCATTTAACTTGAGGGATACTATTGAGTATTTCAAGAGTTATCTTTCTTCCAATTTCACATCTCTCCATTTTCCCCAATACTGCCCCGAAGTCCCACATGTAAATTAACATATGAAATAAATGTCACGTGTTAAATAAAACTTTATACATGTTTGGCTAACCTAGTAAGAAATATGCTAAAACTCTCATAGATTGAATTGAAAAAAAGTACATTAACTGGTAAAAAACTGTTGCAGCTGAAATTTCTAGACATAACAGACATCGAGCTATTGAGCCAGAACAATGCCTTTAAATCCATGTAGCTTTAGTGTGAGTGCTTGGTGTGTTGACCCTGTTTGTGTTGTGCTACAACAGAAGTTGGCTAAGTTTTCATGTGAAGGGCTAGACTGCACAGCATATGGCCTCTGTCAAAATTATTCCATTGTGCCTTTGTCACACAGAAGAAGCTCCAAACAAAATAACAGATGCATGTGACTGTGATTCAATGAAAGTTTATTCATGAACAGTGAAATCAAACTTTTATTTTTACATCACAAAATATGATCTGTTTGATTTTTTTTTCACGATTAAGAAGTTGTAAAACCATTCCTAGTTTTGCAGGCTGGTCAAAAATAGATGCTAGGCCAGATTTATCCCATGGGTGGCAGTTTGCTGCCCCTGTACTATTTAAATTTGGGACCCATACATTAGTTGAATATGATAACTGTATTCTGTTGTAGTGGTTAGATGTCAATTATATTCAGTTCATTGTTTTTATTGATTTTCTGCCTGCTAAATCTGCCCATTTATAATAGAGGGGTACTGAGGTCTGCTAGGGTCTTTCTGAAGCTAGGGTTCAGAAATCTGGAGAAGGAGCTGCGATGTAAATAAATTGGACTAGACAAGAAATATAAATTTGGGAGGCATGGTGGAGCAATGGGAGGCTCCACTTTTTAGTGAAGTGGGCTCCCTGAATGTCCAGACCCTCAGCTTTTTATTCACACATTTTTTCCTTTAGCAAAGCAGATATACATATCAAAGGTAAGGTTTGGTAAACAGTCAAGGATTATCAGGTTAAGGGAAATGCTTTGGGCTGTTCTAGCAGCAGGTAATAACATGCAGATTTTTCAGCCCTGCTGAAGCCAGAAGATTCACCAGCCTTCTGATCAAGTTCTTGCATAATTATGACCTGCTGGAATTTGCTTTCAACAGAGGTCTCCAGTTATGATAGTAAATTTGTCTATTTTTCCTTGCAGTTTATTTATTTTGCCTCATGAAGTTTGTCACTCTGTTATTGGGTGTATACACGTTAAGGATTGTTTTCTTGGACAATTGGCTGCTTTATCGTTATGTAATGCACTTTAGTATCTCATATATATTTCCTTGCTTTGAGATCTGTTCTATCTAAAATTAATATAGCTACTCCTGCTTTCTATTGGTTGTTAGCTTAATATATGTTTTTTATCTCTTAACCTTAACCTATATGTCTATATTAAATGGAGTTTCTTATAAACAACATTTAGTTGAGTTTCTTTTGAGCCAGGATGGCAATTTGTCTTCTAGTTGGTGCATTTAGACCATTGACATTCAAAGTTATTGTTAACCATAAAGGAAATTAAAGATAAACACCACTAATCTTCCCAAATTTTATAGATCATTTATATGTCAGAACATTTACTGGCAAAACAAAACTGGTGCAAATATTTCCAAATTATAAATTAAATAGATCATATGAAGTTCTCAAAATGAACACTAAATTATAAATTTTCCAATATCAATTCAACATTTCAATGCTGTAGTACTTAAAAGATTTCTATGTAATTTAAGAATGTTACTTAATATAAACTTTCAAAAATTGAAAAGCATAGTGAATATATTTTTGTGAGGCAGATTATTTTGTGATAGTACATATGACAAGTATAGTTTTTGATGAGAA